CGCTCCTTTAGATCTTGGAACACTTCATGCACAGCTTCCACTCCGCGAACCTCCTCCGACGTGGCCTCCCGCACGTGCTCGTTGCAGACCTTCCAAAGTCTGCCCAACACATTGACGTAGCAGTTCGCTCCCTCAGGCATCAAAACGACGCCTGGCCCGACCCAGTTAGGCTTAAGCACACCTTTATCCTTCCACGACCGCCAAATGTAGACGATCTCTCCCGGCTGAAAGGTTCGGTGCACGCGATTCCTGGCTCGGAGAGCGTGCTTAGCCGCCTCGGACAGGTTGGTCTCCACGAACGCCTTCTGGGCAGCCCTGCGCGCTGCCAACACTCTTTCCACCTCCTCACCGTGGTTCACCAGCGCGGGGTCAATGGCATCGTCCGACATGAGCTCCCCATTGGTCCGCGCTGTCTGCCCCAGCATCCTTTGAGCTGGAGAAAAGCCGGAGCGATTGAAGAGGCGATTTTTGGCTGCTTCCACCTCACGTGTCAGCAACCTGAGGTCATCCTCTGAGCACGGAGGATTCTGCCACTTCGCCTTTTCCATCATCTGCTTGAAGAGGCCGCCATGCCTTTCACAGCGCCCGTTCTGGTGTGGCGCCCTGGCCCCAATAACGTGCAGAAGCACGCCTAGTTCCGCGCATCGGTCTCGAAATTCGCCCAAGAACTCTCGCCCTTGGTCCAGAAGGAGGATCTGTGGCATTCCTAAGAAGCGCCCCCACGTTCTGGTAAAGGCCGCCCACACACTCACGGGCTCTTTGCTTCGTAGCTTTTCCACCATCTGGAAGGAGGTGCCCAGGCAAATCATGTTCAAGTACCAGTTCTGTCCGGAAGCATCCCAATTCGGCATCTGCAAGAGGTCGATCGCGACCACGGTGTTGGGCGCGTACGACCTGGGCACCATCGCCGGCCTATGCGCCTTCGGAGTTCTACTGGCAGCGCAGGTAGGACATCTGAAGCTGTCCTTCGCCCAACGCCATATCCTGTCTGGTGTTCGGCTCACCTTCAGAGTTCGCACCAGATCCGCCAAGCTGGGGTGTCCCAAGTTTCGATGCAGCTTCATCACTGCCTCCTTTTCTTGTCTTGTAGGCTCACCCACCGGGACGACCGAGTCTTCAGGACGTTCGTCCACTGTGTCCATCGGGCGAAGGTCGAGCTCGTCGAAGATGTCCTGCTCTGCGACCTCTCCGGGGAAGCACTCGAGGTTATAGTCCATGATTGCCCCCTCCGCTCGGGGCGGCTTGCCCTTCGCCATGGCATACTTGACTGCGTCCTTGAAGTTTGTGATCTGGTACTTCTTGCGGTATAGCAGGTAGGACGCGGTGCCTTCTGAAGTGGCCTCCTTCAGGTTCTTCAAGCCTGATGACAGCGGCCCCAAGGCACTGATTACGAAGCCACGGCCCTTCCTCCACTGATGTCTCGCGATGCGACAAGCCAGCGACGACTGCTCCGACGCCACCTTGTTCATGTATATTACTTTGGGACCTTGGCTCTCGATGTCCTTCCACACCGCATTCTGGTTGACGCCCTTTAGGTCTATGGTCATGGCGTCAACCCCGGCACTAGCCCCCACGAGGTAGTCCAGGATCTGATCAGACTTCGCCTTGTCGATCTTGGTCTCGTCGCTCTGGTGCTCCAAGTACAGCTCGGGCTCTTTGACCACCACATAGACCTCCTCGTCTTCCAGGCTGTGCAGGCCCTCCACGTCCTGCCGGTCCATTCGCTGCAGGACACCATTCTTGGAGACCACCACAAAGTCGTCCAGGAAGGGAAGAGGCCTGGCCATCCAACGACGCACCATGTTAGGCGTAGCACTTTGCAACACTCGCGTTCCATCCCACGATCTGACGTTCTGGCCTACGTTCACATTCCTGCCAGTTGCTTCGCCACTTGGGTTCTTTGGGTCATCATGCGCGCGTAGAACTGGTTCACCATGTCCACCGCTTGCTTCATCGTGGCCACGGCTTGCTCCCAGTCGCTCTTGGTTTCTCGCAAGGGCAGCGTGTTCGCTCGATGTCGGGTCTCCTGCTCGTAGCGCTGAACTCTCTTGAACTCGGAGACCATTGCCTGCACCTGGTTCGCGGTAGTCGGGTCCATCTCGGACAGGTGAGCCTCCATTGCGGTCACGTTCTCCACCGCCCTCTCGAACTCCAGGTACTCGCCCTCGCGCAAGTCCAGCGTAGTCTGCAGCTCGTCGCTCCTGGCGCGCTCGTCCGCCAGCTGCTGCATCAGGTTTCCCATCTCCACCTGGTGCTTCTGGGCCATTCGCTTCTCTTGTTGTTTCAGAGCGTTCTCCGCCAGGTCGAGGGTCTTCTCCTTCGACTGGTTCACGGTCTCCACTGGTCGGCCGGTCAAAGCTCCGGCTGTTCTCGGGCTGAGTTTCCATCGAGCCTTGCACAGGTTGCAGTGGAACCAGTTCATGTGTCCATTGCCTCCTCCTTTGAGCTGCTGAGCTGGGTGAGCACAGCGGCCAATCTCTTGAGTCGGCACGCCTTTCACCGAAGCCAACTGTTCGGGCCTCTCGCCTTCCAGGTAGTTCTTGTAGATCTGGCCCCTGCTGGTAGCCGAACTCGTAGTCAAGGTCGCTGGCGAAGTGGTATCCGTAGGGCTGGGCTGCTGCTGCGACTCTGGCCCGGGAAGAGAGAGCCACGGTGACACCACGGTTTGCCAGTATCCCCAGGCCAGCAGCGAGCAGAGTTTGTCCAACAAAACCCGCCAGTTTCGGACGGCGAGCCTTGGCCGGCTGACGGGATTCCGCACGAGCTGCCATGGATTCCGCTGCCGCCCCTGCTGCTGCTGCAGGGCTCGCGAAGCTAGCATAGGCCTCGGACTTGAGAGTCTTGGGCGATCTTGTAGTCTTTGGTCTCGAGCCAAAAACCTGCCCAGTGCGAAAGTCGGACTCCATACGACGCCCTGCACACGCGGAAGGCATCACCCAACCTTCAGGACCGAAGTCAAGCACATCCACAGCTGCGTGCCCTGAGGGAAGAGTCGTCATGTTGCACTCTCCATTCACTTTGCTGAAGGTGATCTTGTCTTTGCTTAGATCAATGACTGAACCCAAGGCCCTCAAGAGACTAACCGGCAACAGCAATGGCACGTCTTCGGCTACGACTGTCAGCTCAAGCACTCCTGGAACTCCACCGAGGCCGATGGGAACTTCGCACACGCCGACTGTTTTTGCTGCGCCTCCAATGCCGCGTGCCTGGGTGGCCTTGTCCGTCCAGCAGCCTTTTAGGCCTAGGGGCCTCAAAAGGTCCAGCAAACGAAGAAGGGCCGGACGACCCACCAGGCCTTCCTGAGCCGCAGTGTCCACCAGGCCGTGGCATCCCTGCGTAGTCACTCCCACGAAGAGCTCGCCCGCCATCGACTCGCCCGGCCTGTCGTTGAGGAACTGGCCGAAGGACAAGAAGGTGTTCGCTCCACCAGACCCGCCATCCGTTCGGCCGGCCCAGTAGAAGGACCCTCGGCTTGCTCCCGGGCCCGACGATGACGAAGAGGTAGTCAGCGATGGCCCCGCTCGGTGCCTACACTCCTTGCTCCAATGCCCGACTTCTCCGCAAGCCCGGCATCGAGTCCTAAGCTTGAGCTGCTCTATGTGCACTCTTCGTGACGTAGGCGACCCCTTCCATGCCGAGCCGCCTTTGCCGAAGGACTTGCTGCTCTGCTTGCCGGTGTTCTTGCCGTCCTTGTTGAAGAGCTTCTTGCCCCCTTTCTTGCCAAGGTTCGGCTGGTAGTACTGCCGGCCCTTTTGCTGTTCTTTGAGCTGCTGCCGAACATGTTGGTACGACGCCAAAGCTTCCATGACATCGCCTTCCTCGTACACCGCGTCCAGCTCGCCGTCTTCTAGGTACACGTAGTTCTCGTCTTCTTCGTCTTCCGCCTCCAGGTAGAACTCGGGCTCGCCATAGTGCTCGTGGTTCTCGTAGTACACCTCCTGGCCTTCGCCCTCTTCAGTCTCCGTCCAGAGCATCGCCTTGGACCCGGAGCTGCTCGAGTTGATGCGGTCAAGTCGCCTTAGGTTGGCGATCACCACATCCTTGGTGTAGTCGCCAGCCAACCACGTGACCACACGGGACTCCAGCTCTTTGTCCAAGTTCGCCTGCCGGAACAGCAAGTATCCGGCAGCCTTCGCCGGAAGGTCCACGCCCTCGGCTTTGAGCTCCGCCAAGGCATGCGACGCGCGCACCAGGTAATCCGGGATGGACTCCTTGGCACCTCTAGCCTGGCCATAGAACACGCCCTCCATGGCCCTCGGCAACGCTGTCTCCACATACGGCTTAAAGTTGTCGTTGAGCACTTTCATCACCGTCTTGTAGCCGTCCGCATGCTGGAGCTCGGCCAGCGTCAAAGACGACACCGCCTCCCTTGCTGGCCCTGTGAGAGCTTGAACCAGCTTGATCGCCCTCTTCTCCTTGGGAATATCCGTCGTGGCCTCCCACAGCTCAAGATCTCGAAGCCAGGTCTTGAAAGAGACCTCTGGAGTGGAACCGTTCCAAGAAGGTGGGGGATCTCTATCTCGGTAGACATATCCTCCAGGATCGCCTGAGGACTGTCCTTCCGAAGTAGATGGCATCTTCACTCACTCGCTCTTGTAGATGTCGACGTGGCTGGGCTCGATCAGATACGTCACCACCTTCCCGCGGCTGATCGGTTAGAAGGCGAGGAGGGAAACAGCAGGCCCCCTGGGACCGCCGGCTGCGACGCCACACACGCCGCCAAGAGCCACGCAGGCTCCGCTGCCAACTGACAGCGCCCACTTCGAATCTATGGCTCGGACTCAATTTTACGCACACTGCAAAGTCAGTAGCTTAAGGATCAAGAGGGCCCTCTGTGGGCCGAAAAGAAAGACCGCGGGTGATATGGCCAGGGAGGAAGCCTGCACTGATTTCACACAAGTGAACCAACATAGCTGTGTGCACAATGACGGGCTCATCGCTGTGTGACAAACCGGAAGCCCTTCCACTTCCCCCCCTCCATTTCACACCAAGGACCCCACCCACTCGGGCTCCTGGAAGCGTGCATCCTGGTGCCTGGTTCATCAGAGCAGCTGAAACCCACGCGAAAAACAAACAGCTCCTCGGGCAGTGCCCAAACATGCCCATGAATCTCCCGGCCTCAGCCGCTGTGCCAGGGTGGACTTCCCGCAACCGCGAGGCCCCGTAATGAGCAGGACTGGCACCACCTCGAACCATGGCAGGCTCGCTCACTCTGACAACAGGAGATCAATTCGATCGTCCAAGCTCGGAAAGAACCACAAGCTGGACAATCCATCGGACAGGCAACCCATTGCTGGCCTCGACGGGCTCTTTGACAGCTGCTGGTGCCTCCTTGCTCGGCACCTTCGGGCAGAATAAGGGACATCACGAGGGTCAAGTCTGGCATGCCCAGTCTACTGCAATGAAGAAGCCATTGCTTTGGGACAATAATAGGAAACCTTCCCCTTTATGTTGATGTTTTTGCACCGGTGTCTTTGGATGCAGGCACAGGTTCAGATCGCCTGGGTGCAATGCCTCAGGCCACCCGTCGGAGCCTGGTGGGCAGGGCGCCCGTACCCTTGCTTCCATGGGACCGTGCCATCTGCGTGGCAGGGGCAAGACAGCAGTACGATGGTCACGCCTCGCCGGGCAGCAACGAAGCGGAGCCAGGCTGTTCACCGAAGCAGTGCACGGGACCACCCACGGTAGCCACTGTGCGCGAGGCCAAGGAGTATCCCGCCAAGCTGAGGCAGACAGCCGTGACAGCCAGCACTACGGCCGTTGCGGGTGGGTAGGCTTCCGTGTCCACCTAGTGGAGATGACTCGTCAGCCTGGTTGGGAGATCCCTTGCTAATTTGCAGCGATTGTCTGCAGGCTGGCCGCCAGCCGCTAAGACAGCAGCCTGCACGGGCCGAAGACGCAGCTGGCGCCCGGGAACGGAACGCGTCAGACAGGATTATTGATGGGATTTTGTCTCTGGATATTATCTTTCATGTCGTGTCTGTCGCAGCCTGCCTCTGTCTGCACCTTATCTATCTGCCGGTCTCTCTCTCTGTCTTCAATTCTTCCATTTGGTCTCAGTGGGCAAGCGGATCAGGCGTTTGCCCCCCCATCTTTGCGTGTCTGTGCTCTGTTGGGGTGCCGGCTTGGTGCTCAGGTTCTGCAAGACGTTTCCTTGTCACTGTCTCTGCCTCTCTATTACTCTGCAGGACTGCATGCAACGGTTGATGATGCGTGTCAAGCTTGATGCCCCCGGATACACCTCACAGAAGCAAACCCCTCTCCCACCTGGTCTGCCAACTTCAGTGCCACGCCCAGCGAGCCCGGCACAGCCTTGACCAAGGTCCGCGCCTCCATGCCCCGATGTAAAGCTTCATAAAGCTTCGCAAAAAGAAAGCCTTGAGAAGCTGAGGATAAGGTTTACAGGCTGCGTCTGGCTTAAGCTCAGCCAGCCTCCGGTAGCGTCTCGATCAGGCCACGCCTAGGTTGGGGAGACTTACGTGCAAGCCGAGTACAAGCAAGTCCTTCTGCGCCAAGCCCACTTGGAAATTGGAAATCTTGGCAGCACTCCAAGCCGCAAAGCCCGGCATCGACTCTCTCAAACGCAACACAGACACAAGGAACCTCAACATCTTGAAGCAGCTGCTTGGACCAAGAAAAGCAAAAAACTGACAGCGGAGGCAGATCGAGGCAGTGGCACGGGAAGCACCGCTGAGGAGACCACATAGCCTTTCAAGGCATGAGGCGGTAGACCCTTTACGGTTTAGGGTTTACGGTTCAAGGTTTGGGGTTACAGGAAGCATGGGTTGTCCACCCTGCCGGGGGCGGCGGTTGTGACGTCTTTGTCTCCTGGAGTTTTAGAGAGAATTTCCAAGGGCTCCAGCGGTTCAAGGGTCACAACGCACGCTGACAAGGTCCCAACGCATGCCCGCCACCCACTCTCACCACCCCCACCGCCGTCCCCTCCCTGCCTCCTTCACGACCGTTTAAGTCCCCTTGTAGAGCTAGCGACCAATTACATCTCATTATCTCCCCACCGCCTTCGCCACTCTCACCACCCCCATTAGGGCCGGGACCGCTGATGCCCATTGATGCCCGGGGGGCCGTCCACATCAGCCACCCTTTGCTTTTGCCGGGGAATTCCGTGGGCGAGCATCATCGAGCCAAGGGCGTCGATGATGCGCATCTCTGGGGCACTGCCAAACAGTGCAGCATCATGCAGCATCCCAAAATGCCTGAAAGACTAGCCTTTTGCACTTTTGCACCATTGTGAGAGGCCTTGGAGCCCCATTGGGCAGCAGCCCGGGACCGGCTCGGGACCAGGCTTGGGGAAGGTTCCGGCCGTGCCGTCAGCACATCGTTAACATCTCGTAGGCACGCAAGAAACCTTCTTCTTCTTCCTCCTCCTCATGTTCATATGGTCAGTGTTCTTCTTGTTATTATTCTTATTGTTGTTTTCTTCTTGTTCGTCTGGCGACAGCCCCCTGTGACAATGCAAAGCCAAACGAATCAGGCGGAATTGTTGTGCCTACCAGCGCTGCGAAGAGCGAAGAGCGCGATGCGACCACGCCTGAAGAGCGATAACGGATTGCGCTTTTCGTCTGAAGGGCACCAGGCGCTACCCACATCCACAAAGTCTAAAACCCTACAAGCACCTAAAGTACAAATCCTAAAGCTCAACTGAAACTCCGAAGGCCCCCACGCTGAACCCTACCAGTAGATTCTGATGCAGGCCTGTGAAGTTGACACCAGGCTCCCAGGACAGGCGGTCCAGCCACTGGGCATTCTTTTGCACACCGGGGGAGGGGGGTGAGTGTTTCTGCAATTCCTCTCTTGTGGACGTTCTCTTACGCGCTGCATTGTTTAAGCCCTTCAGGGCCGAGGCGCATTCTTGCTTCTCGAGTTAAGGAAGGCTCGGATATGATATGTCCGAACCGCCCTAAACCCTAAACCAACAACCCAAACCCCTAAACCCCAAATTGTGGTGCTTGTAAGTGTGCTTGTACCTTATCAGGTACATGCAAAAAACCTGCATGATTGATCATTTGCTGCATTGTTTGCTGTTGACATGCTTGCTTCGCACATTCTCTGATTTACGTGGTCGTTGGCTCGACCCTCGGAAGCTACTTCTTTCACATTTGCTGGCAGTTGCTTTGTTTTTTGATAATTGTGGGAGTCAAGTGGCCGTCGCCAACGAAAGCCCCACTTGAAATGACCAGAAAAACGTGCCTGCAAAAGCATTTCCCGACCTGGGGGTCTGCGTACACAGCTGGTGTGCCACTAGCTCCGTAGCATTGTCAAACCAGGTTTACAGGTCGTTGAGCGCGCAGCCTTCGTGTCTTTTGAACGTAGAGTTTCGCTTTGGAAAACAGGATGTGTGCATGTTCACTTTGACTGTGTTGCGAGACAGCACATGTCACTTCAGAGCAGAGATTTTCTTACAGATGGCCTTACTAGTAACTTATAGTTCTACGCAGAGAACCAACACGAGAGCATGATCCGACTTGCATACTAATTCGGACAAATCAAAGATCACCAGCTCATCAAGCTTGGGTCTCGCCGTCCCGTCCCTCTTGTTCTTCAGTTGTGGCGCGGGGTGGTGTGAGAGGAGGGTGTGGTGTGCGGTGAGTGGTGTGTTAGTGGGGTGGTGCGGCGTGTTAGGTTGTACAGCATTGCCAATTTGTTGCTAGTTGGAAGACCGAAGCGCAGTTGAGCCCGATTCTTGAGGGCACAAGAAAAAGTGCCATCAATTCGCTTTGAAGCCAGCACACGACACCGCATGACAGTTCTGAGGGATTTTGGGGTCACATAGATTTCCAGCCCGAATCCCTTGGCATTATGCACTTTGCAACATGCAAGTGGGAATTGACTTAAGGCTTCAAGGGCCATGTGTGATTTGTACAAACTCGGCTGTTCATGCTCGCGAGCCCGCTAGTTGGCAACTTTCTGCAACTGCTTTTGTTCCATGTTATCGAGCTCCTTGAGCATCTGTGAGCTAGGTCGACGGCCACCTCGAATCCAACTGTTGAGGCCTCGGCTTGATACCATTTCACTCAAGCACGAGCTTCCTGGATGGCATCACTGTAACAACAGCCAGCAGCTCGGCCATTTCTTAAATGTGAGATGAATCTCCCAGCACTCAATCTCAGCCTCGAGCGTACTGCAGACCTTGCAACGACAATGACTTTTTGTGGTGCACAAGGCGTTGCACATCCAAGCCCACGTGCAGCCAGCGAACGAATTTCGAGCTTCTTCAGTCTTCACATAACATGAGGACGTATGCTGGCTATTGCTAGCTGCTAGCTAGTTGGTTCGACTCTTTCTGAACACCTCGTGGAGTGGCCAGGCTTGCCCTGACTGTGCGGAGTCTTCAGTGAATCTCCGTCTCTGAGTCAGGTGGACATCAGACACAGTTGCAGTAAGCATTGCAACACTGCCGTGCCCGCAATCTGGATTACGAATATCGCCGTCAACCCTTGGTTTAGCTGTGCAGAAACGTCTCTCAGAGGCTGCGGCCAAGGGCTAGCACCAGCCCAAATGGTAGCAAGAAGCGCAGGACTCGGGAGGCAACAAGAGCTGCGGAAGGAATCGACTGAATTTAGCTCCACGAAGCTGTGGGTACACTCTTGACTGCATGAACGAAGCTCGGATCCTCAGAACCGACCGTTTACCCACCAAAGCAGTGAGAACACAGCTGAGATATCTGGGCAGGCACGCTCCGCAGTGGATTTCCAACGTTGAAGGGGTTCCACTCCGTGGACAACTGCAGGGACGCGTGGGCAGGCGTGGGCAATTGGGAGGTGCCTCCTGGCAAACCACAAGATGCCCCCACAAGATACCATGAGCCATACAGGGTTTAGGGTTAGGGTTGAGGGTTGAGGTCGAACCTGCGCATACCTGCGCTAACATTCGGCCTTCGCCACATCCTGCTGCAAGATGAGGAGATAGAGCACGCCGAAGGCGACACCGACTAGCCAGCCCTGGTCGCTCGCTCTGGCTCAGACTTTATAGCGATGTTTACAGTACTGTACCGGACTCAGTAGCGGTATATAAATACAAAAAGGCTTTGAAAATGAGAGTTGGAGGGGCTGGTGACCTAGCGCTGACGAAGTATACTGCAGCTCCTTGCACAAATTCCAAAGCCCAGCCGAAGCGCCCAATTACATCCAGGCTCATGCCTCTGAAGCGTCCACTCCGTTGTTCAGGTAGGCCAGCAAAGCACCTCCAACCGACATACGCTCAGCAGGATTGCTGCGACCTTGCCATCATCTTAGTCGTGTCCCCTGATGACCATGAAGGAAGGCTAGCCGACATGTTTACACATGGCAGCACATCAACACCCCCTTTTAAGCCGGAAGCTTTGTCCATCTCCGGACCTGAAAACTCCACGCTCTTGAAACTCCCGAAGTGCACCGAGCAAGCCCACAGCAGACGCGTCGATCAAACTCTGGCGCTGCATCCGCTGGTACCTCGAGGCTTGAGCAAAGGCTCAGGATTTTGCAGGTACGTACGGTGAGCAACTGGGCGCAGCCGAAAGTCGTTGCGCATGTCTTCAGAATTTTCCAATCTGGGCCGCCGCCCCTCTAAGACAGTCATTAGTCAAACGAACCTCGCTCTCTTCTTCGATAAACTCTCTGTAAAGATTCTTGAGCTGCTAATATGGCAGGCACTGGAGTTTTCAGTGCCCATGCAACGAGCTCTTGGCATGTCCCACTTCAAGGCTCAGCCCCCTTGACCCCACCACCGAAAACTGTGGCCAGGCCCAATCGCTCAGGTTCCAAAGCCGACGTCCCTAAACCCTAAACCCTGAACCCTAAACCCTAAACTCTAAACCCTGAACCCTAAACCCTAGACCCCGTATCATTATTCGTATTATTCGTAGTATTAGAATTATTCGTATTATGCGTAGTATTCGTAAAATTCGTAGTGTTCGTATTGTCAGTATTTTTTTAGTATTACTGCTATTACTAATGTTGTTGTTAGTATTCGGCTGACAGGGCACTTGGGTACAGTAGTAAGAACAAGGCAAGTATGGAGCACTCCGCCACGCATTTGGCCCTGCGGGCAGCTTCCGCCACGGGGGCACCTGAGACAAGAGCGTCAGATTTTTTGCACAGTGTATAGCCTCACATTTTGGGATGTTCCCCCTTATACTAACAGTCCTTAATAGGGATTGTAATGCCCCCTCTCATAGTTATCCCTGTTAAGGACTGTTAGTATGAGGGGGAACATCCCAACTCACATTGAAGATCTGATGTAAGAGCAGGGCTGCCAGGATTTGCCTGTGAGACGGCCGCCTGCATCAGCGCAGCTGGGCTCTAACCCTGACACGAACCCAAGCCTGGGAACATGCTCTTTGCTCTGCTGGTGGTGCGACAATTTGTTTGCCTGTGACCGTGGCCGGCACCCAAGATCACACAAAGCCCGAGCCTGTTTGCCCCCACCTGGCAAGGCGGCCACACCTGTAGTGCATTGGGAGCAACAGTGACTGCTACATCTGCTACATTACCGCATCTTCAGGTGAAATCTTGGATGCCAAAGCTGAAGAACTGAAGCCTAGGAATCTTCGAAGGCCCTCTTGAGGGCCTCCGGAACTTGGCACCCGACCCAGGGACCGACCAAGCCTTTGCGGAAGTGAGGGGGAAGAACTTGTCTGGAGCTACAAGCCGGCCCGGTCCAAACCCGAAATCCTGAACGCCCGAACCCGAAATTCCCTAGATCCCACCCCCAAACCCCAAAACCCTGCAAATCCATAAACCACCAAGCCCCCAAACCTATCAATCGCTAGATCTCTAAACCCGTAAACCCCTTAACCGCTAAGCCAAACCAATCAACCCCCAAATCCCTAAACCCCAAACCATCCCCAAACCATTAAAAAGCGAAGCAAGCAAACCCGTAAATCCCGAGAACCCCTAAACCCCCACACGCTCAAAGGCTGACACATGCGCGGTGCCCTTATTGACCCCCCCTTAGAATCACCCCCGTCCTCCCAAAAAATGTTCTTCTGAAAGGATGAATATATATTGACACCTCCTCACAATTTAAACAAAAGACGGCGTTAATGACTGGAATGGCTGGTTGTTAAAACTTTCAAGTTTTTGAAGCTACTGCAAACCACCTTTTCTTTGTAAAAGCTTCAAACACGTTAACATCTGAACAACTCTGTGAGGCTCAGGGCTGAGGACCCGTTATTTTTTTCGTAGGTTTGATCGTTCGGGCCATTTCAAGTCTTACAACTTGTCTTCCAATTAATACGATTAAAAAAGAGTGTCCTCAGCCCTCCAGGAACCCTCTTCAAACCGGTTTGTCCACTTGAGTTTGGGAGTAACTTTGGATGCAAAGGCCCTGCTAGCAGGCCACGACACCTCTGTCCGAAGGCTATGGCTGCACCGAAGAGTGCCCCACCTGAGCTGCAACAGGCAGTGCGGCACAAAAAAACACTTCCACGAGCCATGAGGTCCAAACCAACTTTGAACAACCATGTGGACCCCGAACCCAATGTGTCGCGGAAGCACCTCGAGCCGGAAATCGTGCTGAGGAGCTCCCTCGGCCAGAGCGAGAATTGGCGGGAATGCATGCCCCATCAGCTACTGGGGCAAGGCGCTCTGCCAAGAGTTTCTTCCTTGCAGAGAACCGCCGCATACCGGAAAATGGGGAGTTAGTGACTTGGGCCGGCTGGCTTTTGATGCACGGCCATTGGCACTTGCCGCGATCGATGCAATGCAATGTCTTAGGTTTTAGGGGCCAAGACGAGATTCTGCAAGAGGTTCAAGGCTGCAGCTTCCTAGAACCTTGTCATCCGACCTGCAACCTATGAAAGCTATGAGGATGTGAACAACTATGAGGAGAACCGAAGTCATCACAACTTACCCTGCAGAGATTACAAAGCTTCAGCTTCTCTCAGCCATTCCCAAGCCCTGCTCCCGGCCACCTCTGTGCGCAGAACGCGGAACATCCCAAACAAGGTGGCCGGAGAGCTCGTGAGGGCGAAGGCCTGTCAGCTGAAGAGGGCTTGAACGCAAAAAGGCGTCCGACTTCCACTAATCCTAGGCTGTTGGCGGGATTCTTCCAAAAAACTCAACATGACGAAACGTGACTCAACACTGTCCATCTGAATCTCTCTTCGGCCCTGGTGCCCGTCATTGCCTCTCGTGTTCTATTCGAGGGCACACTTGGGCCGGTCCTGTAGCCGGGCCTGTAGGTATCCGAGCGAGGCACCGTGTGGGGGGCACCTCAGGCAACCGCTTTTGAAAGTCCTCAGCTGGTGTATCTGTTCGGTGCTTAGGCCGTAAGCAGACATTGGTAAGATCGCTCTTGCAAGCAGCTAAGGTGCAAGACTACACAAGCACTGTGCTACTTGATTAGGCTCTTTGCTTTGTTAGTGCACACCAAGCAAGCAGTAACAATCTCTGCACGTGTCCCCAACATCACGAAGCTGCTTTACAGATGTTCACGAAGCCCATCGTCCTTGCTGGACCTGAGTACCTACTACTAGTTCAGGACCAGGGTTTTGGGACGGCATCGCGATTTGCTGTGGCTGGAGATGTGAATCTCAGTCAGCTGCGCGAACCTCCATCATGTTCCGCGATGTTCCGCAATGTCCCGCAATGTTCCACAATGTTTCACGATGTTCCTCAATGGGGTCTACGTCAATCTCTGTGCTGTGGAATGCTGTGGGCTGCTGTTGTGCGCTTCTTAGCCCGCGTTTGCAAGTCTTGACATGCACGAGACGAGCTGACCCAGTTGTCTTTCATCGTTCCAGAAGCTAGCGACTGCTTTGAGCCACCTTGATGCCGGCAGATCATGTGCAAGTATGGTTTGAGGTGTTCTTGTTGAGAACGAATGTTGCCGCAAGCATTGATGCAAAAGCTGGAAGTGTGTGCATTTGACCATGCAGCCTGAACACAGTGGAACGACATCACTTGTCACATCATTCTGCCTCGAGTCCAGTAACCTACACGGCAGACACACATGCCAGACACGCCTTTTGACTAACACTGCGGGGCAGGCAAGACTATAGCTAAGGGACTGCGCCATTCACCTGGGTGAAGAAAGGCAGCAGGTAACTCATCTCCAGTCTTGCAGTCGGCCCATGAGCTACGATTCCAGAGCTATTGGCAGCACTTTGGGTCAGAACCAAATCCTAGCAAGCGTGACTGCAGGCAGAACAGGGTTCACTCATCACTGGCAATTTGAACCTGCACACAAAGCCTTGCCAACCGCTCTGGGAGTCCAGCTTCGGCAACTTGATGGCGTGCCCAGCGCAAGATATCGGCATGCTGAACCTCAACTCAGCGCCAGCTCTGTCGGCAACGTAGCGAAGGCTAGAGCTTCGTCTTATCGCCGTACAGATGAGCTCAGAAGTTGATTCATGTTACGAAACCGTGCGCCCATAGCAGCGGATGTTGACCAGATATCTAGGCGGACCACAAACGCAAACTTCCAGGTCAACCCAATCAAAAACACGATTTCTTTAACCGAGCATCTCCTCAAAGCTAAGCCGTGTGATGCGCACTGTAGGGATCATCAGCTGGATAGGACTCCAGACGGACTTCTTGCAGACTGCAGCATGGGTGCATGTTTCAATGAAGCTCCTCAGTCCTGGTTCAGGGCTGTTCTGGTGTTCCGCTTGCGCGGTCCGCACTGAGAGCCGATCCCCTCCAAGTAGGAGTGAGCTCTGGAAAGGCTTTCCCCAGCGCAACCTGTCAAGAAGAATAACCCCAACCGCGCCAAACCTGCAACATGCAACTGTCTTGAGAGAGATCCCTTGGAAGGTTGAAGGCGGACTTCCAGACCACACGATACTAATTATTGACGGCGCTCATAAGCAAAGGCTACTTTCCTGTGCCAGCTGGCCTTAGAGTCACCATTTTGGGGTTTCCGAAATTAGGGGTACCGTATTGGGGTCCTTATTATAAGGGAACCCCGCTGTTTGGAGGTCTTTTGTAAGGGTCCCCTATGCTCGCAAACCACCATTTTGGGTTCCAGAACTTGAAGGCTTGAGCGGCTGCCCAACTCCTTGCTTGAGGTTCCCATCGTTTTACAGGGTTTTGGCATCTGACATCTGCGCTTAAGATATATCGATGCATCTTAGGAAGCCTCGAACGCCTTGCCCTCTGCATGACCATGTAAGCCGGTGGGCCCTCCGGGCTTCTCAAAAAGTGCTGTAGCTTGGGTGTCGCGTTGGGTGTCGCTCTGCGGCACGCAGGAGGCGGAAACTCAGAAGTCGGTGGTG